ACACGCTGTAGTTTCTGCCATCAGGCTGGAACGGGTTATGGTGCTGGGACAACTGTTGCCTGAAAAGCAGCATCTGGCCAGCTGGGACACAGCCAGAGAACATGGGGCTGAGCCGTGCCACACCAGGCAGGAGGGATGTAAACACCTGGTTGGCTGCACTACCTCCTCCTCCTCTCAAGTAGGCTTCAACTTTCTTCCCCACCTGGAAACTTGGTGGAGGAGCCATGTATTGTCACCGACACAGGCTGAGTTGGCACTGGGCTTTCCTCACCTCCTCCCTCCCCTTCCTGGGGACAAGCGAGTCACATCCCCACCCCTGATGCCTGCAGAGGACATCCATCAGGCGGCTGCTATATGACAAGTTTCCTTGCTGGTGACCCAAGAGTGCCTGATACTGGCTCTTATCAAGGCTGATCCTGTAGCAGAAGAACACACGTGCCAAGTTAGTGAATGTGTTCAGGTCCACCTTTTGCTGGACAATCATCTCTACAACTTCCAGGATAAAGTGGATGATGAACTCATCTGCCATATCCACCTTTCTGCTCTGCTCCAACCTACAAGACACCTCCTGTGGACATATGTACAGTTTGAAATGCCTTGAATTCATGCGGAAGTATAACTTTTGTCCCTTGGATTGGAAAAAGCTCTCATACCAGCAGTGCTGCAAATCCAGCCTTCTAGTACAGAACTTGTGGGATAAGCTGATTGTCTTCTATCCTTTCAAGGCAGAGTGTCAGCAGACCATGGAGCAGGGTCAGCCAGGAGCTCATCTGCTCATCAGGTGTCCCGGTTTCATGAAATATAAATCTGAACCACAGCGGGAGAAGAATCCCATTTCCAAAGGGAATAAACTTTCCCTTGCCAAAGCTGAAATGAACCCAACTGAGAAGACCTGAAGAGTTGAGGATGAGGATAGCTGGGTGTAAAGATACCCCACCAGGAATTTAGGAAGTCTTCAGGAAGAGTAGCACTTGAAGTGAATGGTGCCAACACCAGCAGTGTGACTTGCTGCCAAGCTTCCTCCTTCCTCTGCCACCCAGGGCTCAGTATTGGGCCCAGAAAGGTCATTATCAATGATTTAGACAAGGAGATTGAGTGCACCCTCAGTAATTTTACAGATGATACCAAGTGGGGTGGGAGTGTTGATCTGCTTGAGGGTAGGAAGGCTCTACAGAGGGATCTGGACAGGCTGGATCGATGGGCCCAGCCCAGTTGAGATGTTCAGATTGGACATTAGAAAAAAATTTCTTAACCAAAAGGGTTGTGAAGCACTAGCACAGGCTGTCCAGGAAAGTGGGCAAGTCACCATCCTTGGAGGTATTTAAAATACATGTATATGTGTGTCTTAGCAACATAGTTTAGTGGTGGGCTTGGCAGTGTTAGGTTTACAGTTGGACTCAATGAACTTAAGGGTCCTTTCCAACCTAAATGATTCTATGATTCTAACGTCTGGCTAATGACGGGGACTGGAAATGATGATGTCAGTATTTATGTTCTACGGCTTTTGTTTGGAAGATGAAAGGAATTCAGGAAAAAAGTTGATTTCTCATTTCTCTGTCTCCTATTTCTATCCTTCCCCTCCCAAATACGCTGTGTAAGGGGCCATTTTTAGACTGTATGCTCTTCAGGGCAGGGACTCCTGTTATGTGTTTGTACAGGGACTAGCACACTAGGGCTTGATCTTTAACTGAGATTTCTGGATGCTACTTATTATAGATAATAAACAACAGTATGGACTACCCATCATCAACACCACTGTCTATCCATATCTTGTAAGAAGGCTAAAAATTGTGTCCCCTCGATAGGGTTACTGGAGCTGGTTAATGTTTTTCTTTCCTCGGTAGAAAAATACTTTGCTGGAAAGTGGGGAAAAATGTCGGTCTGATATTTTCTTGGGGGGAAGGTGGGGAATTTTTCTGATTTTTCTTTTTAAAAGAAAGTCAGGCTTT